AGGGCTATGAGGTCTTCCCACCCCTCCTTCCTGTATCCTCCCTGGCTCCTGCCCCTTCCTGATATCTGTGACGCTGGGCAACCACCTACCCATCTTTGAGCCTCAGTGTCCCCATCTGAAGTCACAGGGTAGACTGGGGGTAGGGTACCCGTGGCTTTCCTCTCCCAGGAGTGGTGCCAGGACCCACCCATGGTGTGGTCATATCTGGATCTGCCTAGACTTCCTGACCTGCCTGTGCCTGGGTCCCCTGAGATCACTCCCTTCTGCTCCATGTCCTCCCACAATGCCTTCTCTACAGAAAAACAAAGCAAACAAGCAAACCAACCATCTCCCTTCTAGAGCTTCAATACTGCTGAGTTGCTGCCCGGCTGCTCAACATCCAGCTCTGCCCACTACGGCTAGGCTGCGTCATTTTAAAGGCTGGTAAAACACCAGGGTTTGGTCATTAGAAGTGATGAGTCTGCAGACTGCTGACTCACCTCATCAGGTGACTCTGGTGAAGGGAAGTTTTTGAAATGTGAACTCAAAGGCTGCAGTTGAGTCAGGAAGCAAAAGCAAAAATCAGCATAATTACATTAAATTATATTAAAAAGTCTCAGAAAGTGGGCAGAGGATACTGCCTTCCAGCATCAATTGCTGATTTGTTGTTGGAGGCAGGTTTTTGAAACAGTGCTCCAGCTATTTCCCTGTAAATTTTGGTTAAAATACAAATAGGCAGCAGCTCAAGAAATACCCTAAATTGCTAGTATTTTATCTATAACGTATCGTATACACACACACACACACGCCCATAAAGAGAGAGAGAATGAACATATATAGCTGTTTAAATCACTTGGGGGATTCTTTGCTGAATAAAGTTCTCAGGACAAATTATCTAATACTAAAAAGTAAAAAGGGACACAATTGTCATTTGATTAATTAGGCAAACCAATATAATGTTAAACAGCTGAATTCAGAGATGACCTGAGTGAGCTCAAACTCATGGACTTATATAATATGATCTTGAGGAAGTTACTTAAATTATTTGAGTCCCAATTTCATCTGTAAAATGATAATAACTTCATGGATTTATTAGGATTAAATGTGATAATGTCTGAAAGCACAGAGAGGCATCAGAAAAATTTTATTAGGGATCTATCTAGTTTTTGTTGTTATTTAATAAAATTTAATTGTTTTAAAATAAGGTCTGCAGCTCCAACCATGAAATTAAACAGACTTGAGTTCAAATCCCATCTCTGTCAGTAGTTGCGTCATGCTGAGAAAATTACTTTTCTACTCTGTTTCCTTATTTATAAAATGGGAATACTAATAATGTCTTCACAGGGATTTTGTGAAGACTAAATGAAATAATGATGCCTAGAGTCTAATATGGTGACTAGACATGTACTTTGTTTGCTCAAATTCCCAGAGAAGCACATACAAAGAAGGGAATAGATGTGCAAGAGATTTATTGGTGATACTCCCTGTGAAGGATAAAGGATAGGGAGCTAGAGTAGGAGGGAAGTACCTTCAGGCCTCAGTGGAGGTCTGACAACCTGTGCAGGAGAGTCGGAAGAAAGGAAGAAGAGGGTGAAAAGAATCTCAAACCTCTCAAAGAAAGCTTCAACTGGGTCATGGGGAATCCGAGAGCCAAAGTCATCTGTTACAGGAGTCCCATATCACCACAGTACCCAGTATATGTTGGTTATTTGCAAAAATAATTAACAGTTGTCACATACTGTAATTTACAAGTGTGTTTAACTCTTGAAATTTACTGCCTATCCCCACCTCCCCTAAGAAAAGTACAGTCCCTGCTGCCAAACACTGACATTAACATTTGAGGCACATGTTCTTAGACTAACAACTTCTTATATTTTACAATACAGCTTTGTTAGCCAGAGAACAGTTGAGGAATCAAAAGATCTGTTCCAAATTACAGTTGAAAAATGTAAACATTACCTAAGCAACTGATTTTTTGACATTAGGTGATTTAAACACAAACTGTCTAAATTTCTAAATTCAGATAGCCAATAAATGTAACAATCTTAAACAGCTGAGTAATGTTAATATCCATAGTGTGAATATTAACCTAAACTTGAATGTTCATTTCCTTTCTTACTAAAGGGAAGCAAAATGCATGACCCCAAAATATGCCACTTTGGCATGTGGAGTGTTTTGAGCCAAAGGCAATCAAGATCCAGCAGACTCAAGAGAAACTTTTACCTCTCCCTTAACTACCTAAAAATTTAAATACTGGGCCTGTACCAGGAAGGGAGCTATTACCAGAGAGAACTTTTACCTGAATGACTTATATGTATGGCAGGGCAAATGACTAAGTACCAAACTTCTGCTCTTCTTAGTGTCCTATGAATCACCCTCCTCCCCTTTGAAGCTCCAGGCCCTTATCCCATTCCTTGGCTCAGGATGGCCTATAAACCTCAACTGCCCACCTTGCCCTTGGGTCTCAGTCTTATGGAGCTCCCATATGTATGTAGTTAAATTTGTTTCTTCTGCTAATCTGCCTTATGTTAATTTAATTAATAGATCTGCCAAAAGAACCTAGAAAGGTAAAGGAAAATTTTTACTCCCCTATATTACCAAAGATATCTCTATGGTCAAACAGATCAAGGTATTATATTTTTGTCTGTCTCTACCCATCTACCCCCTCCCTCTTTTGTTGTTTTTAATGAGGAATTGTAGCCATCAATCAGTTCAGTACTCTGCAAATGGCAGGTCATGACCCATCAGTTGGTGAATACTAGTCCGCACTTTTGTTTCAGTTATGTATGGCTTTAGGATTTGGGTATTAAATGTGTTTGTTACTGTGAATCAAAGGATTTAAATTTTAAAGCAAGGTATTTAGACTAACTTCCTTATCTTACAGGAGGAAATGAGGACTAAAGAGGTGATTTAATTTGCCCAGATAACTCAGGAAGCATGTGACTTGAACCAGAAGCTATGTCTTAAGAATCGAAATTTAGGGTTCTTTGTATCATGCTTCCAGGAAAAGGCTTCTTGTTTACAGTACTTAGGGCACATAATTACTCTGTTTTCCAGTGAGTTAATATGATAGTCCTTTTCTGTCACTTTCATTATTTCTTTGCTAAGATTTATTGAGAAGAGCTTTTCCCTGACTGTGGCCATTGAGTGTCAGGAAGGATGTATAGCTGCAGTTATTTTTTAGCCGTCAGCAGCCGTACCACATCACCGGAATTTACTGTTTATTTGCCCTATGCGAAACAGCTAATTTAACAGTTTAAATCTGGAGTTTACCTAATTTAAACTGAGCAGTGATGGGAGTTCTTTCTGAGGGGCATTATACTGGTAAAATCTTAATTTTTACTAGTACCAGTGAATATTTTTCTGTACTTCATTGTTATGACATTGTTTATCCATTTTCCTTGCTTTTTAGAGTTTAGCTCAACAAATATTTTCATTTTCAAAATGTAAGTTTTGTGTATAATCATGTGATAATTTATTCCTTTATGATTTTTAAAAAAATATATCATTCTTTAGTTTTCTAGCAAATATTCATATTGAAGGGGAGCAGAATAGGCTGACCCAAAATCTGCCATTGTGGCATGTGGATTGTTTTGAGCTGAAGGTAATCAAGATTGAACAGACTCGGGCTTCCCTGGTGGCGCAGTGGTTGAGAATCTGCCTGCCAATGCAGACGACACAGGTTCGAGCCCTGGTCTGGGAAGATCCCACATGCCATGGAGCAACTGGGCCCGTGAGCCACAATTACTGAGCCTGCGCGTCTGGAGCCTGTGCTCCGCAACAACAGAGGCCGCGATAGTGAGAGGCCTGCGCACCGCGATGAAGAGTGACCCCCACTTGCCACAACTAGAGAAAAGCCCATGCACAGAAATGAAGACCCAACACAGCCATAAATAAATAAATAAATAAATACATTGTGTATTATT